GTGTGAGAAAGCAAGCCACCAGGTCTGGGACTTGAACCACAGTCAGCCATATGGGAGTCTAGCACCTTAACTACCATGCCACTTGCTAGCCCTGCCACTTTTTCTTTTTTTCTTCTCTTGTCATCGGGCAGGTATGAACTTGCAGGAGGGGGAGGGGGAATACACCCTCCAAGAAGGATGGCCACTCTGCAATTCCTTCTCCATTCTCCTCCCCAGATTTTGGGCACACACCCACATGTGCCCAGCATGTTTTTCAAGCCACTGGACCCAGGACTGGAACCAGTCAGCCCTGAGTATTCAGTGCACTGGCTACCATGCTACCTGCTGGGCCTCTTCTTCCCACTTTACTAAGAGGTAGGTACTAATCTTATTTATTCCACAGAACCAGGCCTTGGGTGAGGCACGTAAAGTCAAGTTGAACAAGAGAAGGATTGGATTCTCTCTTTACAGTGTATGTGGTTCTTTTGCACTAATTTTTATTTAAAAAACTTTCATTAAAATACGTATCTTGGGGGATCAGCAGTTAGCGTAATGGCTATATTGCTGAACTTCCATGTAGTTGACTGTGATTCGAGTTCCAGACCCAGTGGCTTAAACTCACTCCAGGCGCGTGTGCATGCGTGCCCAAGATCCCAAGAGGAGAATGGAGGAGAAGGGATTGCGGCGTGACCATCCCCCCTGGGGGGTGATTTCTCACTTTCTGTCTCTCTGTCTCTCTCTGTCTTTCTGGTCAGAGCAAATGCCCTATAACACACACACACACAAATACGAATCTTTTGAGGTCAACAGGTGGGATGATGGTTGAGGCACTGAACACTCTCACATGGGTGAGCACAGTTCAAGTCCTGGACCTGGTGGCTTGCTTTCTCACTTTCCTTCTCTCTCTGTGTGTATCTCTCTTTGATCGAATTAAAAGGAATGAATGAATAAATAAAATTAAAGAAATAATTCTTTAGAAAGAAGATACTTACCTTGTGGGGCCAGCAGGTGGTGTGGTGGTTAAGGGTGCTGGACTCCCACATGGCCGACCACGGTTCGATTATCTCGATTATCGGACCTGGCAGCTTGCTTTCTCACCCCTCACAAACCCCCCCACCCCCAGTGTCCCCTCTCTGGACAAATTAAAATAAGTAAATAAGTAAATAAAGTTAAATAAAATAATTCTTAGGAAAAAAACCCTTATCTTTCTTGCTACATGTTCTGGTGTCCCTTCCCTTAAAGTGTACTCGAGGAAGGACCTCACCCTGCTCTGGTTGTCCCAGGCACGGTAAGGTTAAGTAGCCATCCCAAGGTCAAGTACTGTGTCCACACCTTTCAGCATCATGCAATCTTTCACCATCATGCAAGCCTTTTTCTTTTTATTTTTTTTGAAGAGGTTTTTGCTATAGGGTGCTTACGTTCATCAGAGAGACAGAGAGATACAGAGAGACAGAAAATGAGAAATCACCTCCCCCCCCCCGGGCGAAGTCCACGCCCTAATTTGGCCACGCCGCAATTCCTTCTCCATTTTCCTCTTGGGATCGTGGGCACACATGCACATGCGCCCGGCGTGAGTTTAAGCCACTGGGTCCGGGACTCGAACCGCAATTGGCTGGCTACATGGGAGTCCAGCGACATAGCCATTACACTAACTGTTGGTCCCCCATCATGCAATCCTGAAGGAGGCTGATGAGGGGGTACCCATGTCAGGCTGGGTAAGGAAGGGGCTCACCAGGAAGGTAGCGATGGCCGCCCCGGTCAGGAAGCCGGCCAGCACGTCGGACCAGTGGTTGCGGTACTCAGCCACGCGGACCACGCCCACCAGGAACGCGGGACACAGCAGGGCCAGGCAGAGCGAGGGTTTGACCAAGCGCGAGCCCTTCACGCGGAACACGAGGGTCACGTACATCTGCGGGAGGCGAATCGATCAGGGGACAAAAGTGATGCCCAAGTCGCCGAACCAAAGTGGACACTGCATTTCAGGATGCAGGGGTGGCGGGAAAACCAAGGCTAGTTAGGCCTCCTAGCGGGCTCTTGCAGAAGGGCGTGACCATAAGGGCAAGAGAGCCATCAGGTGTCGGATCATGGAGTCCCATGGTAGGGAGCGTAGTCAAAGCGCCAAAGAGTGAGACCGACAAGGTCTGGGGCCCTGGTGTTCCAGGTAGGGTCACAGATCGGGAAATGACATTGGCTGGATGGGGGCGTGGCCAGGAAGAGGAGGGTGGAGTCAGGACGAAAGGGGCAGGTCCAGACCTTCAGGAGGAGAGTCCCTGAGCCCCAGAGGACCCTGTCAGAGTGAGAAGCAAAGCAATTGGGGTATGGCCGGGAAAATACCGGAGACAGAGTTAGAAGTCCCAGCAAGGTCAAAAGTAAGGGACTTAGCCAGAGACACAAGGCGGAAGGAGGCCCCCAGTGCGGGGAACGTGGTCCAGGGAACAGAGTCAAAACCCACCCGCCTGGTCTCCGGGTCAATATCCAGGGCTTGTAGCATCATGGGGACCTAGCTAGGCTCCAGGGGCTCGGAATCCAGTTTTCCAGGGACAATATCTCGTTCCTAAAGGTGGAGACACCACCGTCCCTGGGGCGTGGCATGACGGAGCCAGGAGGCGTGGCCAGGCACAAGCGGCACAGCCAATGGACACAGTGAGTCTTACATTCGGGGGCGTGGCCAGGATCAGAGGGGAGGAGTCAGAGTCTCCAATGGGTAGGCTCCGCCCCGGGGGCGTGCCATGGCCCCTAGGCGTGGCCTCACACCTGGGAGCAGTCGGTGGCTTTATTCCCGGTGGCCTCCAGGTAGCTGGCCACCCACGACCTCGCGCCCTCCTTTCCAACCCCCGCAGCTCCCCTGGCTCAGGCTCACCGCCGTATAGGTGACCGCATAGGCGCAGAGGGCCGCGTCCTTGCAGGGGAAGGCACGGCGCGCCGCGGCCACCAGGCTGGGGCTGCCGGCACAGGCGCCCTGGTCTGTGACGAAGCGATCGGGCCCCGGTCGGTCTGGCGACGGCGGCGGGCAGCCCAGGGCCGTGTAGTTGGGGCGGCACACGGATAGGAAGTGCGGCGTGGGGTTGCCGGTCACCACCTGCCCCGCGTTGGCGAAGATAGTCGTGGTGAAGAGGCCGAAGGAGTAGACCCCTGGGGATGGAGGAAGAGAGATTCATGCCCTGGAGGCCTGAGGGTCCCCGTATGCTTCCATAGGGCCTCTTATCTCCCTGTTCCTGTGATGGCCATTAAAACATGCCTTGGGGGGACCAGCAGTTAGCGTAATGGCTATGTGGCTGGAATCCCATGTAGTTGACCGTGGTTCGAGTCCCGGACCCGGTGGCTTAAACTCACGCTGGGCACGTGTGCGTGCGTGCCCCAGATCCCGTGGCTTAAACTCACGCTGGGCACGTGTGCGTGCGTGCCCAAGATCCCGAGAGGAGAATCCCGAGAGGAGAAGGGATTGCGGTGTGGCCATCCTCCATGGGGGGTGATTTCTCGCTTTCTGTCTTTGTCTCTGTCTTTCTGGCGAGCGCACGCGCCCTATAGTAAAAACTTCTCCAAAAAAAAAAAAGAAGAAGAAAAGAAAAAGAAAAACATGTCTTGGGCCTCATTATTGGAGCCAAGGTCCCCCATCCCTTGGGACCCCCACCAGGGCATTCTGGCTTTCTGGTCCTGAGACCTTCAGTACAGTACACCTGGCCTCTGTCCCCCTGGGATTACCACTATATGGAGAGCGGGCCCTCCCTCCCTTGGAATCCCATTATGTTTGAACTACCCCTCTCACCCCCAGCAAGCACTCTGCCCTTGGCTCCCTCATTCCTGGACCACTCAGGCCTCTGCCAACGGGCCCACCATTACAGATGACCTCTGCAGCCCACTTCCAGGCTCCATGGCCACTAGTGGAGGCTTGGACACCATCTAAAACACAACTGTACTCCCCTCTCCCTTCCTCCCATTGCATCTGGCCTGTGCCTGTCTCCCTGTTTTCCATCTGAGGTTACCCTTGTGGCCTTTCTTTCTTTTTTTTAAAGATGTTTTGTTTTATTTGTTATTATTTTTTAATTTGACCAGAGACAGAGAGAAAGAGAAAGTGAGAAAGCAAGCCACCAGGTCTGGGCCTTGAACTGGGGATGGCCATGTGGGAGTCCAGCACCTTAACCACTGAGTCACCTGCTGGCCCTGTGGCATTTTTTTTTTTTTAATTGTCAGAGGGCACGGGTACTTGCCACAAAGACAGAGAGACATAAAGCACCCCTTCCCGGGCATGCTCACGAGACCCCTTCTCCGCTTCTCCACCCCGCTATGATTTTAGGCATACACGCACATGCATCTGGTGCACCTGTCAAGCCACCGGAGCTAGGATTTGAACTGCACCAGCAGCCACGTGTGGGATCTGGCTGTCTAAACCACCAGACCGTGGATCCAGCCCGCCTTGTAGAATTCTATTTTATTTTTAAAACTATTTATTGTATTTGTTATTATTCCTATTACATTATTTTAGTTAGCTTTATTTATTTATGTAATTTGACCATAGAGGGACAGAGCAAGACAGAAGAAAGTGAGAAAGCAAGCCACTAGGTCCAGGACTCAAACCATGGTCAGCCTTGTGGGAATTCAGCGTCCCTAACCACCACGCCACTTGTTGGCCCCATTGTTGTTATTATTATTTTATCTTTTTTTTTTTTTTTTTTTAATTTAACCAGAGGGAGACAGAGAGAGAGGGAAAATGAGGAAGGAAGCCGCTAGGTCCGGTACTCGAACCGTGGTTGACCACGTGGGAGTCCAGCACTCCAACTACTGTGCTACCTGCCCTTCCCCTTGTGGCATTTTAAAAGCCCCCCCTGCTACACTTGCTATCATGTTGGATTAGGCTCCACTCCTATTCCTGGGACCTCCGTGATGTCTGGTCTTTGCCCCTTGAGGCCCCCATCATGGTAATTCCAGGCCCTCGTTCCTTGCCTGGAATTCTGTTTTCTTGGGGGATTTTGGCCATAGAGTGCTTGCACTTGCTGAAGAGACACAGAGACATAGAGAGAGGGAAAGTGAGAAAGCACCCCCCTGGGGGGATGACCATGCCACAATCCGTTCTCCCCCATTTTCCTCTTGAGATTGTGGGCATGCACACACACGCATCCAGTGTGATTTTCAAGCTGCTGCACTGGGGACTTGAACCATGCAGTGGGCCATGTGGGATCCAGCGCCTTAAACACTACATGACCAGCTGGCCTCTCACTTGGGATTCTTATTATGGCCCACCTCCATGGCCTTTGCACCCAACACCCTCCCTGTCACCGTGAGGTTGACCCCGGGGTTCATGTCTCACCCAGGAAGCGGACCAGCCTCCGCAGTGGGGGGCTGAAGCGGCAGCAGGCCCCCGACACGATGGTGCTCTCGCCGATGACGGGGACAGCTGAGGGTGGTACGGGGAAAAAGGCACGCGCCAGCTCACCCAGCAGGATCTGTGGGCAAGACCAAGGTGGGGTCTTCCTGGCCTGCAAGCCCAGCTCTCCAGCACCACCCACCCTGCCCCTCCTACCACATCATCCGACCGGAGACCCCCACAGTCTTACCGTGAGGGTGGGCCCAGCCGTGACCAGGGCGTAGATGAGTGCTGGAGGTGCCCGGCTGGTAGCCTCAGGCCCCGGGTAGGGCTTGGCATAGGTACTGTCATAGCAGAAGAACCCTTGCGTGTGCACGGGGAACGTGTCCGTGAACTCCAGGCGGTAAGCAAGCAGGACCACGACGCCCAGCAGCACCGACTGCCACCCAGCAGGGTGCCCAAAGAAAAGAGAGAGGGTGAGGTGAGGGCTGAAGTGGCAGAGACACACGAGTCGGCAGGTGGAATTGGTGGTTGGGGTGCTGGATCCCACATGGCTGACCGCATGGTTCGAGTCCTGGACCCGGAGGCATGAAAATCACACCAGGTGCATATGCATGTGTGCCCCAAATCCTGAGAGGAGCATGGAGAAGGAATTGCTCCATGGCCATCCCCCCGGGGGGGACTTCTCACTTTCCCTCTCTTTGTGTCTCTCTCTGGAGAATGCACAGGTTCTATGGTTAAAATACAATTTTTAAAAGAGAGAGACAGAAACAGAGACACAGAGACAGAGAGAGGGGCAATGAGAGAGGCAGAAGCTGGAAAATGGAAATAGACCAAGATGAGGAGGAGAAACAGAGAGAGAGATGGAGCAGGGGGAGCAGAGAGGAGAACAGGATCTGGGTTTGGAGAAACAGAGAGAGAGAGAGAGAGAGAGGAGTAAGAAAGAGGAGGGGAAGGGAAAGGAGAAAAAGAGGGAAGGGAGGGAACAGTAGAGACAGGAGATAGGACTTGGGGGAGAGAGAAAACAGAGCCAAGGCTCAGAGGGGGAAGACAGGGGGGAGTGAGGAGAGAAAGAGTAGGTGTCGGGGACAGCCCAAATAAAAAGAAATAAGAGCAGGGGAAGTACCATTGGTTGTCACGGGCATAACCCTTACTGTGGGGCAGGATGTCACACTAAGTCTCTTCCATGAATTCATACATATTTGGTTTTAGTTGCCAGAGAGCGAGTACACTTGCCAGAGAGACCCGAGAGAGAGAGAGAGAGCGAGAGCACTCCCCAAAGGGGCGTGGTCATGTGCAATCCTTCCTCCCCCATTTATTTATTTGTTTTTAATGATTTGTTTAGGGCTGGCAGGTGGCATGGTGGTTAAGGGCGCTTGCTGGGCTGCTACATGGCCGACCGTGGTTCAAGTCCTGAACCTGGTGGCTTACTTTCTTGCTTTCCTCTCTCTCTCTCTGTCCCTCTCTGATCCAATTAAAAATAAATAAATAAAGTTAAATAAAATAATTCCTTTTTAATATTTCTTTTATTTATTCTCATTCTTCTTATTTTGATTCATTAGAGAGAGAAAAGCAAGCCACCAGGTCTGGGACTTGAACTGCAGTCAGCCATGTGGGAGTCCAGCACCTTAACCACCATGCCCTCTGCTGGCCCCTCTCCTCTGTTTCTTCATCCTGTTAGGATTTTGGACTGAACTCTATTTTTTTTTTCTTTTTGTAAATTTTTTCCCATAGGACACGAGTTTGCTAGAGAGAGATGGTGAGCGAGAGAGGGAAAATGAGAAATCACCCCGTAGGGGGATGGCCGCATCACAATCCCTTCTCCTCCAGGTCCAGGACTTGAACAGTAGAGTTGGCCACATGGGATCCAGCTCCCTTAACCACTAGGCTATGGGGCTGGCTTGAATGAATACATTTTTACCTTCATAACAACCCTAGAAGAGAGGGGCTCTAGGTTAGGCCCATTTACAGATGAGGAAACTGAGGCTTCCGAAGGTCATTGAGGTGCTCAGAGTCCCATATGGGACAAAGTGAGATTGGAACTCAGAGAGTGTCACTTCTGAATCCAGGCTCCTTACCACTGCTCAAGAGACAGGGGACAACAATGGAGTCCCCAGAGAGCCAGGGAGCGAGAGATCAGGGGGAGAGACAGTAGGGCTGGAGCCTGGAAAATGGAAAAATGAGTCAGGTAGAGGGGACCTGGCAGAGATGGACACCCCGCGGTTCGGCAGAGATGGAAACACAAGGGCGTGCCCTCAGAAAGAGATGCCAGAATCCTTACCTCCACGAAGACAAAGCACGGAATGATGGAAAAACTCCTCTTCAAGTGGGGTCTCCCTCCCGCCATGGTGAAGGCAGGGCCTGGGGGGGGGGGGGGGCGAAGGTAGGAGTTCCAGGCTGTGGCCTAGAGAAAGTCTTAGCTCTTGGGGACCCTGGCCGGATTGTTGAGTCCTCTGTCCACACCCCAAGGACCCTGACTCCACCCCCTGCGCCTTCTGGCCACGCCTCTGCAATCCAAGCTCCGCCCCACTCGTCCCTGACCCTGCCCATTGGAGACCCCTGTAGCCGACGTAGGAGATTCTGATGCCAGGCCTTTTAGAAGGACCCCCGAGCCCTGGCAAGAGATTTCTCCAGCATTATAGGGATTTCTCCCCCATGGCATTTAGAAGAGTCTACACCCCAGTTTTTTTTTTTCTTTTTCTTTTAGGTTATTGCCATAGGGCGTGTGCACTTGCCAGAGAGAGAGAGTCAAAGAGAGGGAAAGTGAGGAATCACTCTCTCAAGGTGGATGGCCACACTGCAATCCCGGTTCTTGGGCACACACGCACTTGGTACCCAGTGTGATTTTCAAGCCACCGGGTCTGGTACTCGAACCGTGGTCAGTCATGTGGGAATCCAGCACCTTCACCACCACAGTACCTGCTGATGCCTCCACCCCGGTTCTTAAGGGACCCCATCACCTTTCCCCAGGAGATCCTGGGTTTTATGTCTCCGTTCCCGGAGCCCCTTTCTGCATGGCCTCCACCTGGGCCCCCTCTCTTGTTCCCAGCCGGCTGTGGTGTCTGGTGTGGGCTGAGAGCCAGGCCCTCCCTCTCTCCCAGCTGCCTGTCCCTCCTCCGCTTCCACCCAGCCCGTCTGCCTCTGGTTCTGCCGCGTGTCCCCCCACCCCCGGCCTAACCTCAGTCCCCAGTGTTTCAGGAGCCCCCAGTCACACCTGCTCAGAGCTCACCTTCCAAAGTACCCTATGGCTTCCTGCAGTCCACTGCCGCGCCAACAGACTCACAGCCGCTCCTGGCGGCCCGCGGGGTTGGGATGGCCGCCCCCATCACGCGGACGCGCACACCCAGACCCAGGCAGGTGAGTGTCCAGTGTCCCATTCACGAGGCTCGCTCTGCAGTGGGACACATGGGGCGAGGGTCACCAGAGGTCCCAGATGCCCAGCCATGGTCTCCAGTCCGAACATCACACACACGTGCACACGCACACACACGCACACGCCATGCCACGCGGTCCATCTCACCGTAAGGACCCAGTGGGTGTTGCATGTCAGCCTCGTGGTGAACCAGACAGGCCTGCTCATTCAGACGGGTGCCTAACACCCACAGCATATAACCGCGCGCACACACACACACACACACACACGACAGTGTGCACGGCCTGTCACAGACACCCACACAGATCAAACAAGTCCCCCCACACGCGAACACGTCTTCAGAGGGACACGCCAGGACACAGATCACACGGGCTCACATACAGCTCACGCAGCCCTCACCCGGAGAGCCAGGGTCACCAGCTCCCCCACGGGGTAGTCTCCACGCACAGTGGGGGGGTCACGGAGCCGGTCACAGAGTCACGCCCCCATTCCAAGGTACTCAATGACAGGCACTCCCATTAGCCGTCTCTCCTCCATGCTGACGGCCACTGTCACACACGGTTGCCATCCACCACCAACAGCCACATGGCCACCCAGGGCCACATACATGGACGGTGACACAGACTCCCCCGAGGAGCCGGTCGGCCACACAGGAGCCGGGCGCTGCGGCAGACACACACCAACAGCCACAGACAGGTCGGGATGCACACACCAGAGCCGCTACACAATGGAAGGCATATGCACGCAGGGTACAGGCACCGAGCTAGCGGCACGGTGACAGCGGCCACACCGATGACAGCCCATCACAGCCGACACACACGCACACACACACACACCATCGGTGATCCCCACAATGACTGTCGCAGGAGACACCGTCTCACACACACACACACACACACACACGGATTATAATTATGTTTTAGTAATGCATTCTTCTTCGCAATCACTTTTCTCCCAATTTACAAAGAAAGCTCTATCTCTCACCCATCTCAAACAATAAGCGGTTCGAGAACCAAACAAAGAGACAGCTCAATAACTTATTTGGGGGCAACAGATGGTGCAGAGGTTAAGGCAGCTGGATCCCACATGGCTGACAGAGCAAATAGATCCCAGACCTGGTGACTTGAAAAATACAACAGCCGTGTGTGTATGTGTGCCCAAAACCCAAGAGGGAATGGAGAAGGGAATTACAATGTGACCATCACTCCCAGGAGAGTGATTTCTCACTTTCTCTCGCTCTCTCTCTCTCTCTCTCTCTCTCTCTCCAGTAAGCATGTGGGGCTTGCGGGGCTCATTTGCATAGCCCAGTGGGGGCGGAGCCTCACTGCCGGGGAGGTGTGGGGGCCTCTTTATGGGGCGGGGCGTGTGATCAGAGACTAGAGAATGCAACGGAGGTCGAGAGTGGGGGATCCCTGGGGTGGGAAGCACTGAGAGGAAGACGAGGTCGGGGTTTCAGAGCATGACCCTGAGTCACGCCCTCTCCTCCCGGGGCTTCAGTTTCCCCATCAGGGCGCTGGGACACGCCAGATCACCAGGCCCCCAGGAAAAAGGGAGCCAGTGCGGCTTATATGCACGGACCACGGTGACCTTGTCATATGGGAGCTCGGGTCTCACGCCGTCCCCGCACATCCCAGATGGCTCTGGGGTCTCACTCCCTTGTCAACGCGGAGGAGTAAATTGGGGCGTGTGTGTGTTGGGGTGGGGGGTCTGGGCACAGGACACAGAGGCGCAGTCCAGGGCGGAGGAGGGTCTCTGCTAGTTTATTTTCTCTCTGGAGGGGTCTTCAGGGAGAGCAGTCCCGCTGCTCAAGCTGCAGAGAGAGAGGACGGGTCAGAGCTCTGCCAGGTCCAGGGGACCTGGAGGCTGCAGCTCAGAGACCGGATGTCCGGACTGGGAGCTGGGAAGGTCTGGAGGTCTAGACTGTGGGAGTCAAGGGCAGAAAGCAGGGATGGAGGGGTGGGTTCTGGGAGGGTCCGCACCAGGGAAGGATCGGCTCTTGCTGAAAGTGGGGTGGTACCAGTGCCGATCCGAGTCAGAGTCTGAGTCCCAAGAGGGGAGCGGAGGACTCAAGCACCGGTGTCCCTTGTGGCCTGCAGGAGGGACAGATGCAATTCCGGACCTTCGTCCTCACCCCCCAAATGTGACCCTCTTGTAACCTCCCCATATGGGCCAGCGACCTTTGGTGTCATATCTCAGTGACCCCGAATCACCGAATCTCACCCTATTGACCCTTAGAGAAAGATCCGGGGGACCAGCAGATGGCATAATGGCTATGTCGTTGGACTCTCATGTAGTTGACTGTGGTTCAAGTCCCGGGCCTGGCAGCTTAAAACTCACATCGGGTGTGTGTGTGCGTGCATGCCCAAGATCCCAAGAGAAGAATGGAGGAGAAAGGATTGTGGCATGGCCATCCCACGTGGGGGTGATTTCTTGCTTTCTGTCTCTCTGGCGAGCACACACACCCTATAGGAAAAATCTCTTTCTCAAAAAAAAGAAAGATAGATCCCAGTGGTCCTGAAAATTTTATTTTTTAGAGAGATTTTTCCCATATGGCACATGCACTTGCTAGAGCTACAGAGAGAGACAGAAAGCGAGAAATCACCCCCCAGGGGGATGGCCATGACGCAATCCCTCTCCTTCAGTCTCTTCTTGGGATTTTGGGCACTCACGCACACACACCCGGCATGTTTCAAGCCACCAGGTCTGGGATTCGAACTGCATTCAGCCATGTGGGAGTCCAGCGATGTAACTATGACCCCATCTGCTGGTCCTGGTCCTGACTGTTGAGTGACTTAGGATGAAACTTCCGGTGACTCATTACTCTAACGCCAGCATAAGACCCAACACATGTTCCCCAAACAGGACATCTGAACACACCCCCCTGAGGAAAGCTGCAGCCGCCCTTACCCCTGAGGCTCGAGGCCCGGGGGCGGGACCCCGAGGACATGGCGAGGCCGTCTATGGAGTTCTGCAGCTCATGTACAGCAGACCTGCAGGGAGACAGGGAGATGGGGGCCCTGGGAGACTGCTTGGGAGTGGGCAGGAGGCAAGGTGAGGGTTCAGTCCTGGGAGAAGGCGGAGGTCTGGACTTGGGGCTCCAGTTTCCAGTGGCTGCTGCCAGGCCTGGATTGGGGTAGTGGGTCAGGGCAGGTTGGGGTCAGAGGCCAGGCTAGGGGCTGGACATCACCATATGTCACTCAGCTCCTTCTGGAGGTCATCTTTCCAGCAGTCATCGGCTCCCTCTGGCACCTCCTCGGTCAGCGGCCACGAGGACATCTCGAAGCCCTGCTGCTTCATCTTGGTCAGGACCTGGGCAGGGAAGGAGGGGGAGGGGGAGGACGAAAGAGCGACACGAATAATGATGCCGGGCGGGGGCAGCTGGGTGGTGTGGTGGCTAAGACACCCGATTCCGGCATGGCCAGATGCTCGGTTTGAGTCTGGATCTGGTAGGTGGCTTGGAAAGCCCCCCTGGCCTGTGTGCGTGAGTACCAAAAAAAAAAAAATTAATTTGTCAGAGGGTGCATTCTCTCACCAGAGAGATACACAGAGACAGAGAGTATCTCCCCACAACCCCTTCTTTTCTCTTTTTCTCCTTCCTTTTGGTATTTTGGGCATGCACTCACATGTGCACAGTGGGACTTTTTTTTTTGAGGGTTTGTTTTGTTTTGTTTTGCCATAGGGTGTGTCAACGCCAGAGAGACAGAGAGAAACAGTGGGAGGGAAAATGAGAAATCACTCCCCAGGGGGATGGCCATGCTGCAATCCCTTCTTCACTCTCCTGAGGTTTTGGGCACTCATGCACAAGTGCCTGGTGTGATTTTCAAGCCACCAGGTCTGGGATTCGAGCCATGTGGGAACCCATGTGCAAGTCCAGCACCTTAATTCCCATGCCACCTGCTGGTCTCACACATTTTTATATATATAGTTTTATTCGTTATCATTATTCTTTTTTAACTTGACCAGAGAAAGATGCAAGTGAGAAAGCAAGCCACTGGGTTCAGGATTTGAACCACAGCCATGTGGGAGTCAGGCACTTCAACCACCACGCCACCTGCCGGCCCCATTGTGTCTTTTTTTTAAGAGGGCTTTTTGCTATCGGGGGCATGCACTCGCCAGAAAAACAGAGAGAGACAGAGAGAGAGAAATCGCCACCCCCTCAAGAGGGATGGCCATGTGCAATCCCTTCTCCTCCATCCTCCTCTCGGGATCTTGGGCACGCACGCACACGTGCCCGGCGTGAGTTTAAGCCACTGGGTCTAGGATGCGAACCGCGGTCGACTACATGGGAGTCCAGCGACATAGCCATTACACCAACTGTTGTTTTCCCCCCTCCCCGTGTGAGTTTTGAACTGCTGGGTCTGGGACTTGAACCGTAGTGGGCAACATGGGAGTCCAGCGACATAGCCATTACACCAACTGTTGTTTTCCCCCCTCCCCGTGTGAGTTTTGAACTGCTGGGTCTGGGACTTGAACCGTAGTGGGCAACATGGGAGTCCAGCGACATAGCCATTACACCAACTGTTGTTTTCCCCCCTCCCCGTGTGAGTTTTGAACTGCTGGGTCTGGGACTTGAACCGTAGTGGGCAACATGGGAGTCCAGCGACGTAACCATTACGCCATCTGCTGGTTCCACATGGTAGCTTTAAACTCCACATTTGGTCTCTTGGGATCCAGCCACTTTAACCACTCCATGGGCTGGCTCTGCTCTCTATGGTGAGTTGAAATAATAATAATAATAATAATAATAATGTTTTTAACTCCACATGGCTTAATAAACAGTATTATGGGGGACCAGCAGGCAGCGTGGTGGGTTAAGGGGCTGGACACTCCCACATGACTGATGAGGGTTCAAGTCTTGAATCTGGTGGCTTGCTTTCTCACTTCCTCTCTCTCTCACTCTTACCTTCTGTCTCTCTCTGGTCAAATTAAAAAATAAATGAGTTAATAAATAAAATAAATAATGAATTAATTATTTAAAAGAAACAGCATCATGGCCAGTACCTCAAGCCCCGTGGGTACCAGTCTAGATCTCATGACCTCCTTAGAGGCATTTTTAGATAGTTTTACAAGCATTATAGTAGATATGGGGCACAGGGGCTGCAGAAGGACCCCCCTGAGGCTGTGGGTCGGACACTCACGGAGCTTCTGGTAGATGAAGGTCACCTCCTCCCGCACCAACTCCAGCTCCTCCCATAGGAACTTCTTGCTGAGGGGACACACAGCCTAGACTCACCCTCCCTGACCAGCCTGTGGCCTCCCAGTGGTCCTGGGTCCATCCCCCAAGCTTTCCACCCCTCCAGGTCGCTGTCTGGCCAAACACCCAGGTCCCCAGACTCTGTCCCCTCACCCCACCTGCATGCCCACTTCCCCCTCCTGTTACTATCCCCCCAGCCCACCCTCTGCTCCTGACCTCCAACCTCTCATTCTCTCAGCCTCTCCCACATCACCAGCCTCCCACCCCCTCGGCCTCCCCTGCCTCCTCCTAGTGCCAGGATCTCCTGGGCAGCTTCCCACCCCACCTCCACTTTCCCGTATCTCCCAGTTTCTGGCCTCCCCATTCCCCCAAGCCAAGCCATGCATCCCTTCCTTTTGTCCCCTAAACCAAGATTCTGGAACTTTCCCAATCCCACTTCGAGTCCTCCTCTTGCCTCCCATCCCTCTGCAGCCTCCAGACTGTCCTCCTCCAAGACCCACCTATCCTGGATCTCTTGGGCCAGCAGCTGCAAACAGCGGGTGGTGCGGGCCCGCTGTACCTCCTCACTGTCACGTAGGGTCTTCTGCAGTCCCTGCAGGCCTTGGGCCAGAGCCCCGTACAGCTCCTCCCGGCCCTGCTCCACGCCCCGTTTGTGTCCCTCCTTCTCGCCCTGGCGGCCCAGGGGGCTCAGCACTTCTGCAGAGAGAGCAGGACCTTGACTGAGCCTTGAGTCCCAGCGAGGTACCCAGGGTCCCCTCACCTTGACCTGACCTTGACCCAGAATCCAGATTCTCCCAGCTCCCCTCCTCTGGCCTGGCAGGATCAGCCTCCAGCCTGACCAGGACCTGGGCCAGCCCTCACCTTCAAGCTGCTGGATCTTGATTTGCTGCAGGCAGCTCTCCTTCTCCAACATGGTCACAGAGTGGTTTAGGAACTCGAAAGCCTGGGAGAAAGAGGTCAGGCCTGGGAGGGAGGGAGGAAGGGCAAGCAGAGGACCTCGGGGTAGAGGTTGCTGGGGCTGGTCACCTTGGTCTGGGCCTGTAGCTGGCTCTTTAGTGACTCCAGCTCACACCGCAGGAGCTTCTGGGAGTCAGGAATCATCATGGTGGACTTCACTGTGGGCAGAGGGGAGGATGAGACGGGTCTGAGCAAAAGCTAGGCAGAGCTCAGCAGAGGCTCAGAGTAGGAGAAGGGGCCCAGAGAGGCTAGGACAGGGGTGAGTGAGCAGCAGTGGCAGGGGGTAAGCTGGCATTAGCGCAGAGAGTGGAAGGTGGGAACTGGCAGGTCTTCCCAGTCTGGTTGGGACCTAGGGTTCTCACCTTTGACTTTGGAAGAGCTGGTCTCCAAGGGCTTCTAGGGAAGGGGACAAGAGGGGAGTAGAAATTTGTTCCAAGGCTATTTCCCTGTTCACCGCCACCCATGTTGGAGGATTGGACAAAAGTTAGATCTCTTGGAGCCAGCAGGTGGCATGGTGGTTAAGGGCACTGGACTCCCACATGGCTGACAATGGTTCAAGTCCTGGTCTTGCCAGCTTCCTTTCTCTCTCTCTCTCTCTGTTCCTCTCTGGTCAAATATTAAATAAATATTAAATAAATAAATAAACAAATATGATTAAATTGAAACATTCTTTAAACAAAAAGAGTTAGGTTTCTTGCATTCTGAGGGCTCCAAACCATGGGTGCAGGCAAAGCTGCTTCCAGGCACATTCATGCACCTCCTTGGTTTGCACAGGGTCAGAGGTGCACTTCTGTGGCTCATCCCAATATGCTTCAACCAGCATCCTGTTACCCAGTGCCAGCCCTGTCTCTGGCTTGGAGTCAGGTAAAAAACTTTGTTAGAAGAAAAATGATATTGACAATGTCTGTAGGGGGCACCCATAGCATCCAAGACCCATCCACATAGTCACTAAAACACACAACCACAGCCATGCAACCTCAGATACAGCCATGTCCACTAAGTCACGAGCGAGACCCAGGGAATCCACTCGTATGCATCTCAAACACACAGACACACACGCAAAATCACCTAGAAGCAATCAGACAAAACACCAGTAGAGACACAAACCACATCTTCCTCCCATTCATTCAAGATATTAGCCTGTGGAGAAGGGGGCGCTGTTCTTGGTGCTGAGACCACTAAGTGTGTTGTTTTGTTTTGTTTTTGAGCTAGAAGGTGCGTGCGCTCACTAGAGAGAGACAGAGAGGAGGAGAGGAGAAAGCACTCCTTGTGGAAATGGTCACTACACCAAAGCTTCTCCATCTCTCCTTTCTTTGGGGGATTTTTTAAAAGGGTTATTTATTTAGCAACCAGCAGATGGCGTAATGGTTACATCACTGGACTCCCACATGGTCAACCGCAGTTCATGTCCCAGACCCGGCAGCTTGAAACTCATGGTGGGCACAGGTGTGTGTATTACCAAGATCCTGAAAGAAGAATGGAGGAGAAGGGATTGCGGCGTGGCCATCCTCCCTGGGGGGTGATTTCTTGCCTTCTGTTTCTCTGTCTCTCCAGTGAGTGCGTGCGCCCTATAGCAAAAATCTCTCAAAAAAAAAAAAAAAAAAGAAAGATTGACCTAATTTTACTTATTATCATTTAAAAGCTTGGGCTCTAGGAAACATGCACTCATGAGAGGGAGAGAGAGAGAGAGCTGCCAGGTCTAGGACTCGAACTGCAGTCAGCCCTGTGGGAATCCAGAGCCCTCAACCACCATGCCCCCTGCCAGCCCAATTTTAAGGATTCTTAAGTGGGACTTGAACCATGCAGTCAGCTATGTAGGGTCCAGCTATCTTAACCACCAGGTCATAGAGGCAACCCTGAGTGTTTCTGACGGATCCCCTGCCCTCAGGCCCCTTCCCTAAGCCCCGGGCGGGTACATTGCAGTGGTTTTCGGAGTCCTAGGGGTTTCCGGGTTGACAGTGACCTTAGCTATGTCGTAATGTCTCTTCACAAAGTTCTGGTCGTTACAGCTGTCCTTCTGCAGGTCTGGGTTGGAGGTGGGAGGAGCCCCATGTGGCTGAGGCCCCAAGCCCCGCCCTGGCCTGCCGTCTACACTCCTCACTGTGTCCTCAGAGGCAGCGGGTCCCAAGTTCTCGAGCTCTGAGATCCTGGACCACTGAGTCGTGCAGTCCAAAGTCTTATCTGATGAAGAGCCTAGGGGTGAGGACTTTCTTGAGGGACAGCCCAGAGCACTCCTTGCCTCCCCAGCTCCTCCCAGTCCCCCAGTCCTGGGACAGTCCCTCAACGAACCCCAGAACTTTTCACCTTTCCGGTTAGCAGGCAGACACACGTTGGAGCGTGAAGGAGATGAAGACTGGCCAGACACAGAGTAATTGGGGTGCCGGGGTAGGCCAGCCAAAAGAGGGTCACTGTGAGTAGAGGGGACAGGGTGAGTTTGAGACCTGCTCCTATGCCCCAACACCCCCAAGCCCAAGAGAGGCCTCAGTCATAGGAGGAGCTGAGACTGGGTAAAAGATGCCCCCAGCTTCAGGACCAGCAGTTGGCGTAATGGCTATGTCGCTGGACTCCCATGTAGTCGACCACGGTTCAAGTCCCGGACCCGGTGGCTTAAACTCGTGCCGGGTGTGTGTGCGTGCATGCCCAAGATGCCAAGAGGAGAATGGAGGAGAAGGGATTGTGGCGTGACCATCCCCCCAGGGGGTGATTCCTTGCTTTCTATCTCTCTGTCTCTCTCTGTCTTTCTGGCGAGCACATGCGCCCTATAGCAAAAACATATCAAAAAAAAAAAAAAAAGTTAGCTGTACTGAGGTCCAAGCCTGTGCTAGGTGAGGCTGGAAACAGGAAAGAACTCAGTTCTGGGTGTAATGCCCACTCCCTTTCCCTCTCCAGTATAGTCAGGGCTGGTACAGAGGCAGGTCTGTCTGGAAACTTCCAAGTGAAGGGCATCTTGCCCCTGGGTTACACTCAGCTAGTTTCCAAACCCTTTAGACCTTTTTCCTCTGTTGCTTTTGTTGGTGTTTCTGCCTGAAATCCTTCCCCTGGTTCAGTCTGCCTGGAAGACTCCTAGGCACCCTTCAAAACCCTAGTCAGGGGAACCAGCAGTTAGCGTAATGGCTATGTCGCTGGACTCCCACGTAGTCGACCGCGGTTCGTGTCCCGGACCCGGTGGCTTAAAACTCCCATCGGGCGCGTGTGCGTGCGTGCCCAAGATCCCGAGAGGAGAATGGAGGAGAAGTGAT